GACAGTATCTTTTGATATTATGCTGTACTTGTTGTATTAAGCAACATGGTATTTATTATTGTATAAAAGGAGAGTGCACTTCTATTTTAATTCCATAGTGTGTTGTTTAATCCTTGAACGTGCACACAATGTTAGTCATCAATGTATGTCCCATTCTATCTATTCTTTCTTTTTTCTTGTGTAATTGGTGTTATCATGTTGGTAGAAGTAATAGCAGTACTAGTAGTGCAAGGTAGACTATGCTCCTTACTATAGTTAAGTTTTTTAGTGTATCCAACCTTTGTTTAGATTATCTATGACTGATCCTGATCTGACCACCTGTGTAAACTGCTCTTTTGATATTAAAATGAGCTTTTAATTATTTCACAGTAGACTTTCTCATGAACATGCTTTCATCATATTCAACTTAGCACTGAAAATGAAAGCTTCTCAGTCCAACTGTCCACCTTAGACAATACACCTACGCTAATATCCCGACCTGAGCTATAAATCTTCTGCACGATTGCTAAGCATAAATCGATTCGTAATAAACCTAACTAGTGGTGGAATCATCAAACTTGTCCTGCACCACAAACTCGACAATTTAATATTAATAATTAACACATAAACTGATTATCTTCAAGATGAATGTTCGAAGAAAATCCGACCGAAAATTGTTACCCCAAAAAGGTGGTCTACGTAAATCGTCTATGGGTGACTTAATGTGTGTATGTATAGGAGACGATTTAAGCAAAGACGTATTTTTGGGTAAATTTTCTCATCAGGCTTACATTTACATAAGGAGTTTATTAGTCATAGGCATCTGAAATAATGTGGTTAATCAGAGTTCATGGATGTGAATTAATCGACAACAATCGAGGTGGTTGCTATAAAAAATAATAATAAGGATAAATTCACTCAAGCGTTTATATGATCTAGGCGATGGTGAGTGTGTGGCTAGAAGGTGTATACCAATAGGGGTAAAAGGGGAAATAACTACTCTCATCTAGTGATTAGATAATATAATAATAACGATAATTTGTGAAACCGAGATTAAGATGTACGATCACAGCACAGCTTGATATTGATACTACAGTTAACAGTGCAAATAAAAGTATAACAAAATAATAAGATAATATTTACCATGAGAGATAATTATTCTAGTTTGGGAGTGAAAGCCAAGGTCGGGGGTGGAGACAGATTAGGTTGAAAAATTTCCATTTAATTCAGCTTGGCTTTCCCGTTGATTGATTGGACCGAAATGCTCCGCCTTAAGGTGATTTGTCCACTCCTTGTGCAGATGATTTCGAAGATGTTTGATTATTTAACGTGAAGTAAATTAGCGGATGGTGACTAGCAGGGGAATCCAGAATGTTCATTTCATCCTATTTGGGACTCGTCATCTAGATGTGCCTGAAATCTCCAGTAAATGAGTAATGGTGTTCTCACTGAGGCTCGAACCCCAGTACCCAATCGTTTCGAACGCCAAAGTGGATTCGGGATGACTTGGGTCACGAGAGTCAAATCTTGTTCAACGGGTGTTAGTGATTGTTTGATTTAGTTTTTATCTGTAAAAATTGGTCACTGAGGCAGTAGATAACTTCATATCAATTTCTTTATAACATGAATCGCATATTGTGGCACTATACACGCTAACGATTTTGTAACACTCCAAGATCCTGCACTGTACTGTTTGTTGAAATACTTGATGTACCCCTTGCACAAGAGGCAACAGAATAAATGAATACATTTGAATACTTTGACCGATAGGTTCGAGTCTCAATGCAAACATCAGTCGCTAGGGTATTACATATGTGTATCCAGCTTTAAATTCCACTTGTAGCCACCAAAAATTAACTGATGTCTTCTACCATTCTCCTGCTGCCTGTTATTTACCATTATGGTTAAATTTTGTTTTGATAAAGTCTCACAGTGTTATACAGTAATGTTTACTGATGACGTTTCGAGCACAATTTATTGCTCATAATCATATCAAGGTAATCACACGACTTCCTAAATTCATTTATATAGTTCCATTGCTTTTCTCTTGATTTTCACTTGATTTGATTGGTAATAGTATTTTCCATATTTCAGGTATGAGTGACGAGTCATTCCTATTGCATGTGTTGGGTGTAGACTCGATGAACAAGGATTCAGTAATCAACCTCTCTCTCCACCTACCTAGATTACTTTTTAGAATTTTAACCCTCTCCCACCCTATTGTGTGGTTGTGTGTTAGCGCATGCATTGCAATTGCTGAGCTTTTTTCTAAATTATTTATCTTCTCGGGGTCAACCATTCTTACCTTAGCTAAATTTTTATGCTCTGACAATCTGACTACCCCTGACCTACTAGTTTGACCTATGTAGTTGACCTTACTCACAGTGATTGCATGGTATTTTGTAAATAATATTATTTTGTCTAATTGGGTCAACTGGGTCCTTTAACCTACAGAGCTTGTCTCTGAGTGAGTTAGTAGGTTTAAATGCCACCATAATTCCTATTTTATTCAGAATCCTACGTAGTGTCTCAGATGTCCCCTCTTTATATGGTATAACTGTGGATGACTTATATTCTTTCTTATTTATGTTATTATTACTAGTTTCACAATTATTTTTATTTTGTTTTTGGCTTTTAATGATCTTCCTAATGAATTGTATAGGATAGTTATTCAACACCAACGCTTCTTCTATCTGTTTTAATTCATCATTTAGATCTTTTTTTGTGCTACTTAGTGCCACTGCTCGGTTTGTTAAACATTTAACTAAGCCTGCCTTAACAGTTAAAGGATGAGACGAATTAAAGTCTAAATATCTATTAGAATGCTTTGGTTTTCTATAAACATTAGTGTGTAGTTTGCCTTCTTCTATTCTTTTTATCTCACAATCTAACATAGCTAATTCTCTTTGTTCATTTTCTGATTCAAATGTGAATTTTATTCCCTCAACTTGTGAGTTTATATGTGTCAAGAAGCTAGAGATGTGTTCTGTTTTTAACACTGTGAAAGTGTCATCCACATATCTCCACCATATTTTCGGAGTAGGGTTAAATGTATTGAGGGCACAATTTTCCCAGCTGTCCATAAATATGTCTGCTACGATAGGGGATATTGGTGATCCCATTGCTACACCTTGTGTTTGTCTATATATTTTGCCTTGGAACTTAAAGATAGTAGATGTGAGGCATAACTGAATCCCTAAAATAATTTCTTCAATAGACAGCTTTGTCCTATGATTGAGTTCAGGATCGGCATTTAGTTCTTTTTTAACTGCTTCTAAGGCCATATTGACTGGTATATTAGTATAAAGACTAGTTATATCAAAACTAACCATTGTTTCATCAGTCTCTAGTCGAGTGTCATTTAGTTTACTTTTCATCTCATATGAATTAGTTAATCTAGAGTTTGAACGATTCTAATGGGGCATAGTATTAGAGCTATGAGATGAAAAATAAACTAAATGACATTCAACTAGCGAATGATGAAACAATGGTTAGTTTTGATATAACTAGTCTTTATACTAATATACCAGTCAATATGGCCTTAGAAGCAGTTAAAAAAGAACTAAATGCCGATCCTGAACTCAATCATAGGACAAAGCTGTCCATTGAAGAAATTATTTTAGGGATTCAGTTATGCCTCACATCTACTATCTTTAAGTTCCAAGGCAAAATATATAGACAAACACAAGGTGTAGCAATGGGATCACCAATATCCCCTATCGTAGCAGACATATTTATGGACAGCTGGGAAAATTGTGCCCTCAATACATTTAACCCTACTCCGAAAATATGGTGGAGATATGTGGATGACACTTTCACAGTGTTAAAAACAGAACACATCTCTAGCTTCTTGACACATATAAACTCACAAGTTGAGGGAATAAAATTCACATTTGAATCAGAAAATGAACAAAGAGAATTAGCTATGTTAGATTGTGAGATAAAAAGAATAGAAGAAGGCAAACTACACACTAATGTTTATAGAAAACCAAAGCATTCTAATAGATATTTAGACTTTAATTCGTCTCATCCTTTAACTGTTAAGGCAGGCTTAGTTAAATGTTTAACAAACCGAGCAGTGGCACTAAGTAGCACAAAAAAAGATCTAAATGATGAATTAAAACAGATAGAAGAAGCGTTGGTGTTGAATAACTATCCTATACAATTCATTAGGAAGATCATTAAAAGCCAAAAACAAAATAAAAATAATTGTGAAACTAGTAATAATAACATAAATAAGAAAGAATATAAGTCATCCACAGTTATACCATATAAAGAGGGGACATCTGAGACACTACGTAGGATTCTGAATAAAATAGGAATTATGGTGGCATTTAAACCTACTAACTCACTCAGAGACAAGCTCTGTAGGTTAAAGGACCCAGTTGACCCAATTAGACAAAATAATATTATTTACAAAATACCATGCAATCACTGTGAGAAGGTCAACTACATAGGTCAAACTAGTAGGTCAGGGGTAGTCAGATTGTCAGAGCATAAAAATTTAGCTAAGGTAAGAATGGTTGACCCCGAGAAGATAAATAATTTAGAAAAAAGCTCAGCAATTGCAATGCATGCGCTAACACACAACCACACAATAGGGTGGGAGAGGGTTAAAATTCTAAAAAGTAATCTAGGTAGGTGGAGAGAGAGGTTGATTACTGAATCCTTGTTCATCGAGTCTACACCCAACACATGCAATAGGAATGACTCGTCACTCATACCTGAAATATGGAAAATACTATTACCAATCAAATCAAGTGAAAATCAAGAGAAAAGCAATGGAACTATATAAATGAATTTAGGAAGTCGTGTGATTACCTTGATATGATTATGAGCAATAAATTGTGCTCGAAACGTCATCAGTAAACATTACTGTATAACACTGTGAGACTTTATCAAAACAAAATTTACCCATAATGGAATTACACTCTACCACAGTGCAGAAGTTTTATTCTTATATCAATGCCTGTTATTTAATTTGTTTTTTTCTACCAATTTGACTGTTTTTTTTTCTATAGGGATTTGATTTAGGCTCATCTTTACTGGATGAAGTATTCAAATGTTTTCAAATGGATAAGCCTACTGAGAAAGTGAATTACAATGAAACTGATGAGAATAACAAAAGTGAATTGACCAGCACTATAAAAGAGAACCCTAGAGAACATTCAAGTAATCCTATTCAGCAATTAGATTCTTTGAATTGTCTTGGTAACAGCTATTATGGTGATGAGGGGGGAAATAATAATAATAATAGTAATAATGATGTTAATCAGACAAACGATTTCAGTAGCACTTTGAATAATAATTCTACAATGTGAGTTGTTTGATTCTGTTCTGTTATTATTATTATTAATGTTTAGTTTTATTATTATTGATTTTTTCACTTTCTATCATTCTGATTAAGCCATTTTTTATGATGTTTCCTTCTCACATCCATGTTTATATCAATACCAATGTAACTATATAAGAGACTGAGCAGTAAGTTAGTTATTTATCTTTTGTGTCAATGACTGAAAGTGGACCCTAAGTTGTTGGAGGATCCCAATCAGTTGCCCCTGGATTCGTACTATCTGGGTTCTAAGACCCCGTCGCTAAACATGCTATCGTTTTCCTGCAATCATCGTGAATAGTGCTATGCTGTTATCTAACCATTTATATTTTCTGTCAATTATAGTTATAGTGAATAGGAAGGACAAGGATCGGGGTTAATTCATAGGGAAACCATATCCAAGAAAGTTTTATGACTGACAAACTCCTTTTCACACCATGATCATTGGTTGAAAGTGAAACTCGGTCTCGTAGTTCGGTCTATAGAACTCTGTTCGAGTATTCTAGAGGCTGTTGGTTCGAATCTTGTCTGGAAGTTCTAGTTTTCCCTTTACCATCAATCAGTTGCCATTACATCAACAGGAGTTTATCATTACAAGGCGCTATCTCAAATATCCTCCTACATTGGTGGTTAAGCTGTAGACTGCTCTCCATGGTTTATGCTAAACAAATCACAGTGGGCAAGAAGCGTTTCTTCATTCAACTCGATTTTAATTGTGATAATATTGCACGAATAATCAACAGACGATTGAATACGTCACTAGCCACAGCCTATTCTGCAGCTAAGTTGGTTTCCATTTACCGAGCAACTTGCTTTTTGGTGCAATCAAAAGTCGACAGATACCCTTCTCATGTTTACTCCAACTGTGTATAGAAATTTACATGTATCTGTGGGAGCAGTTACATAGGCAGAACAGAAAGAAGGGGATGCCTCCGATTTTCTAATCATGTACCAAAAAGCCTACGTCTCTGTTATGTACTCGTCACCAATAAGTTATGGGGTCGCTACCAATATTATGCTGTGACCGGTGTAAATATACGCTAATGAGATATAACGGACGTTAACGTACAGACTGGTACTGCTGAGTACTTAATTTGTCCTGACGCGAAAAGGGGAAAATCAGAAGACCAACACGTTCACGATGATACGTGTATTCTCCAACAAGGGAAATTGACTATCACGCAAGTGTGTGAGTGAAAAGGGTACATAGTGTACGAAAGGTGTGAACAAGAGTGTATAAAAGTGTACAATGCAGAGTATATATGAAAATGGATAACATACATGAACCAATAAGATAGACAGTAGTTTTTCTTACCACCATTGGGTTCTGATTGGTTGTAATGTCATGTGACAAAGGTCATCATACATTGTTTATTTAGTTAATGGACAGACAAAACATATTGTGAGTTATGATGGAATAACGATCAATATACACATAGTAAACATATCAGACTGTCAAAAAAAAGCAGACATCATGTGACTACATATCACCTCCCTTTTTGAGAAGATCGGTGATTAGTAGCTTGCTATCTTGACAACTACGATGGGTGCTGTCCATGCCGAGTACGTGACTGATGCTAATACTCCTTGTTGTTGTAGTCTCTCCAATTCTTCGTCAAATTTTGCGACGGATACATATGGGACTGGCCTCTTTGAGTGAAAAACCGGCTTTGCGTCTGGTAATACTCGAAAGGTAGCTTGCATCGAGGTGCAGTGACCTAAACCAGGTTGAAAAACAGGTGCAAATAGTTTGCATAAATCAGAAAAGAAGTTGGCTGAATTTTTATCCTTGTTGACTGCATTGCATACAGAATTAAGTTGGACATCAGCCAGATGTAAACGGTCGAATCAATCGAGTCCCAAAAGATTTAAATCACTCTGGGTGACGTAGCAAGTTCCTGTGAATTTGATGTTGCAGAAAGAAACAGAACATTGAAGTTCACCAATTAATTTGAGCCACCCACCAAAGGCACTGACAGCAGTCTGCAAAGTTTTGTGATAGATGGTCTACCAATATCATTCCAAAGTTTCTCTGATATAACAGTAATATCACAGGCGGTATCTAGCAGCAGACGCGTATCGTGACCATTCATCTGAAGGTCAAGATATTTCCGCATACCTGGTGTTGTGACTTGACAGGTTGCGAGTAGACTCAATGATCTCCTTGGAGATTTAGGACCAACAGTTGGTTGAGCTTTCGCTGTATTTTGATATCTGGGTTTGCGTGGCTGACAAAAACCATTTTTATGACCGATGATTTTGCACTTGCTGCAACGATGATTTTTGTATGGACAAGACTTTACAAGGTGCCACGCGCCAGAATGCCAGCATGGTGATGGTGGGGTCTTCTTTGCAGTATTTTGTGAAGTTGGACGAGTATGTGCGTCGGTGGCACAGTGGTTAGGACTCTCGCCGACCATGCACATGGTCCGAGGTTCGACCCCCGGCAGACTCACACCTGACATCTATGGTCGGCCTGCAAAATTTGGGCTACCGATATCCACGCTGAAAATTCCACACTTGTACCAAAAATACAGTGTGGAATCAAGCTGTAAATCAAAAAAATGTGTAGATTTGTGCGGAACATTAGAAGAAGGTGGGTCAGGACTGGATGATGAAAGATTTTTGCTCTTTCGTAATGCATGAATATCAGAGCTTCTCTAAGTTGTTGATTCGACCAGGTTTGTGTCTTTCTGCAAATTAATCAGCCGTTGATATTCATCAGCTATGTCATGTAATGTTAACTTAGGATTTTGTTCTAGCTGATTGAGCAGTCAAGTTCGGATATTTGTGAAACGAGGAGATTGGAGACTTCATATGAGAATCAAGGCTTTGAATTGATCATCTGTTGAGGACCTGAGTCGAAATCTCTCACATTCTCGGTTGACTGTGCCAACGTGAGTAAGAAAATCATCATTTTCATTCATTGTCAGCTTGAGGAAACGATAACGTATGCTGAATAATGAGGAGTGGTATCCGAAATGTTCACACAGCAGCTTTATTGTGTCGTCAGAACACTTGTCATGTGGTTTTTGGGGTAAAATTAGGTTGCAGTACCTTTCACATTCTGCAGGACCCAATTTACCTGGTAATAATCGTACCTTCCAAGCATCGTCTTGTGAGGCGAGATCAACTGTGAATATATCCTCATAGTGTTGATACCATGTGTCGAAAGCGACATTAGCATCTGGATCATAATTGGACTGCGTAATACTATTCACAATGCCATCGACAGATGGTGCCATGGTATGATTCGGAGTGCTTGGCATTGAAGCTGAACCAGTCTGTTTCGTGATGAGCATTTCCATTAATTTCATTTGTTGCTCAAATAGTAATTCCAATTTTGAAGAATCCATAGTTCTCCCGTCGCCAATAGTCTCATGGGAACAAGTGGTGTCAACAACACCATCTCCAGGCATCTCCTTGACATGGATCATTAGATGGAAGTCACAAAATGATTCAAAATTATCAATAGTTAAAAGAATTCAGTCCTCCTCAAGTTTGCTTAAGCAATCTCCATCATATGCCTAAAGCCCGATTTATGTGTTTAGAAAGAAGCAGTCATCTGTATTTCCTTGCCCTAGTAATTGGATGTTTTCACCCTGTCTTTCAATTGATTACATAATGCTGAAAGACCCCATTGTGTGTGATTATTATTGTGTGGAATAAAGTGATTATTATTTTTATTATTGTGTATGCATACATTGGTTTTTCGTTTAAAAATGAACTCTCTGTGTAGGTATATTAAAATTGTTTCGTACATAATGTCTCTTTGTGCTGTGAGCAGCTGATGAGAAGCCAACGAAATAAATATTTTATTCTGCACAAACCAATGTTGTTTTTTCTTTATTCAAATTCCTAAGGGGGAATAAATGTAGTTAATAAGCACTTGGTAAGTTTGGAAGTAAGCCACATTTTTCAACATTGTTTTTGATAATATTCCGTTTTTTTTCTGGTTATTTTCACTTCACATTATTTATTTTATACATTTTATCCATATATATATCAATATTGTATACACAGGGTGAAGTCTCCGGTTACACCATTGAAGAATATCAAATCTGATCTAGTTGAAACTAGAAGAGTAGTGTCGAAAGGGTATAACGCTGCCAAACCACTGCATACTACCACTTCATCTTCACCGTCTTCTAATTCAATAACAAGAAAAATTTTAACTAACGGTAGTTTAACACATCATAACAATCATCACCATCATAGCGTACAGGCAACCAGTAATGTTAACAGCAATAATAAAAACGATAATACTAACAATAACGCTGCTAACATAATTACTCCATTTATTTCTAGTCCATCGGATTGTATAAACTCATTGAATTATGAATCAGCAGATAATGAATTGACTAATTCAATTATCCATGACAGTTATATGATGAATGATGTCGTCGACGGTGAAGCCGATGGTGATGGTGATGTTAATCATTTAAAGAAATTAAAATCTGTGCAGAAAACAGAACACAAATCGTTATGGAAACGTAGTTCCTTTGGGAGTTTAACACGTCGTAGTTCATCTGTGTCGAAAACACTGCAAAGAAATAATTTCAATGGATTCAATCAATCAGATCATGATGAGAATAAACGATTGGTAATAAGCAGACCAGTTCTGCTAAGTCGACCGAATTCAAGTAAGTTATCCACTGTCTTTCTCTGTATATGTGTGCATGTGTTTGTCTGTGTTGTCCGTCATTTTTCGTTTAGTTGAATACAAGAGTAAATCGGTGTCGCCTTTTTAAACCACCAGACCACCTAAATATTTCCATCCAGCATAAAAGTACCGACTTTTCTCCGTTTCTTGTTGTCGTAATCTCCCAATTACGTCTTTGGATCGCGTGTTATGAGCTCACACACATTTTTAGTTGATTTTCAACCTACAACTGACTGTGCATTTCATGGAGAAAATGAAGACAGAATATTTTAGAGAGTAAAGTTTGATTTCAGATAGAACGACTTTGCTTCCATTATAGGTAAATTTTGTTTTGATAAAGTCTCAGACTGTTATACAGTAATGTTTACTAATGACGTTTCGAGCACAATTTATTACCACTCATAATCAAATCAAAGTAATCACACGGCTTACTAACTTCATCTATATAGTTCCATTATTTCTCACTTGATTTGATTGGTGGTAGTATTTTCCCTAATTCAGGTATGAGTGATGAGTCATTCCTATTGAATGTGTTGGGTGTAGATTGTCGATGAACAAAGATTCAATAATCAGTACTTCTCTCTCTCTCTCTCTCCACCTACCTATATTACTTCTTATAATATAAATAAACCCACTCCCACCCTATTGTGTGGTTATGTGTTAATGCATGCATTGCAATGTAGCGCTGAGTTTTTTTTCTAAATTACTTATCTTCTCGAGGTCAACCATTCTTAGCCTAGCTAAATTCTTATGTTTTGACAATCTGACTACGCCTGACCTACTACCTACTAGTTTGACCTATGTAGTTGACCTTACTCACAGTGATTGCAGGGTATTTTTTAAGTTATATTATTTTGTCTAATTGGGTCAGTGAGTCGGTGGAACAGCGGTTAGCGCACTCGCCGACCATGCACATGGTCCGGGGTTCGATCCCCGGCTACCTATGCACTCTTTTACCTCGCTAAGCCAGTAGTGAGACTGGTAAAGAGGGAATGTTGGGCATGAGACTGGCTAGAAACCTCATCCTGTAAAAATTAACACCGCTACAGAAACTTCAAGCTTCTAGCTTGGAGCCCTATGTTCCACTGGGAGCATGAAAGAAAAAAAATAGGGTCAACTGGGTCCTTTAACTTTCAGAGCTTGTCCTACCTGAGTGAGTTTGCAGGTTTAAATGCCACCGTAATTCCTGCTTTATTTAGAATCCTACGTAGGGTCTCAGATGTCCCCTCTTCATATGGTATAACTGTAGATGACTTATATTCTCTCTTATTTATATTATCATTACTAGTTTCACAATTATTTTTATTTTGTTTTTGGCCTTTAATGATCTTCCTAATGAATTGTATAGGATAGTTATTCAACACCAACGCTTCTTCTATCTGTTTTAATTCATCATTTAGATCTTTTTTTGTGCTACTTAGTGCCACTGCTCGGTTTGTTAAACATTTAACTAAGCCTGCCTTAACAGTTAAAGGATGAGACGAATTAAAGTCTGAATATCTATTAGAATGCGTTGGTTTTCTATAAACACTAGTGTGTAGTTTGCCTTCTTCTATTCTTTTTATCTTGCAATCTAACATAGCTAATTCTCCTTGTTCATTTTCTGATTCAAATGTGAATTTTATTCCCTCCACTAGTGAGTTTATGTGTGTGAAGAAGCTAGAGATATGTTCTGTTTTTAACACTGTGAAAGTGTCATCCACATATCTCCACCATATCTGAACGACGTTTTGTCATACTATATACGATGCTGCCGGTGTATATTCTACTTGAAGAAGATTCTATACAAGGAGTGAATATTTCGCAAGAAATTTCACTGAGAATTTTTACTATATGTAAACATAATCTCCCCAGAATAAAGCTGTTATTGTTTTATATGAGTAATGAATGGTGTCTAATAGAAAGTTCTTATTAAACTTGATTTCCTGTTGTGTTTTCCCATACTCTGCATTATTGTCTTTTAAGGTTACCAACCTACGTCACTTATTTAATCTCACAGTCAGCAAACTGATGACACCCGATCAGCATAAAATGGACTGATGACCGAAAATACCTATTGACTCATGAAGCGAATTTTCTTTATCGGCGAAATCATCTTCACAGACTGTACAGTCGTATTGATGTTTAATAAAACCTTATAGTAGTAGTCTGTTATTGAGTAATGGGAGGCGGAAGCAATATAATTGATACAACTGCTCGGAAATAGTTTCTAAAGATAAATAATTACGCCATAGTCAATGACACAATGGAATTAAGGATCTGAAATTTAATAAGGCGAAAATTGTTGTTCGATGAAAAGTTAGGTAGTTAAGTGTTCACTTGACAGTCATGAAGAGGGTGAGAAAATGTACAAAAGGAACATATATGAGTTATAATAGTGAATTAATTATTAAAAATTTAAAACGAATGACTGGAGAAGAGGTTTAAAGCATGGTAGAATAAAAGACTGAACAAACCTTTTCTGAACACCGAGTTCAGGGTTATACTGACGAATCACCGGCGCCTCCGCCTTACATATATGCCGAAAACTAATACGAGTCTGGTGAAGCTTTCTGGCCTAGGTCAACCAGGTGCTCGAAAATTAGGCTAGTGATTGTCTTACATTGTCCTCTTGCTAAACATTCCAGATAATATCTGGAGGTATGTTTGAATAGTGTGAGCTTTGTGAAGCCAATATAACTAGCTCCACAGGAGCAACTAAATTACACACTGAAGTGGCCGTTAGTGACAGTTTGTCCTTCACACCTCTATCGATCATGTGTCAACTGCAGAAATTGATACCTAGGTCAGTCGGAAAAAAGGTTTTCTTAGCTATCTGAATGAGCAGTTCTTCAGAATGTTGGTTGCGGTAGTCTTCTCGAAAATTCTATTAAAGATAGTAAGGAATTATAAAACAAAAACTTATAGGAAAATGTATCAACAATCATGGCAGTTGCAGTGGAAGGAATAATCTTCTTTTTCATTAGATTTATCTGGTAAGTTGAACACCTATGAAAATATAATAAAAGGTTTTAGATTTATTTCTGATTAAGGACCAAAATAAGTTTATGTAGTACAAATAGGCATTTAAAATGGGAAAATAGCCTAATAAACTCAAGTTTTGAAGTCGTGTGATTACAATTTATATGATTATGAACAATAAATTTCGTTCGAAACGTCATTCAGTAAATAATACTGTTTCACTGTGTGATATATCTAATAAACAAACTAATAAGGTAAATAATACCGTTATTTATTTATGTATTTGTACAACATCAACCGTACTAAACACCCGCCTGTAAAATGCTCTCGTGACCACTATCCAGCCTAGTTAGCAAATGAAGAACGGAAGTTTACTTCCGGGTCAATAACACAGCATTAGGACACAACTTCGTTTTCAAATATACAAAGTTAGATCTGCTCACTCAACGCAGGCATAGTAAAGAGATCTGGGTGTAAATGAAACACATTAACCGTTCGAAGATGCAATTCAAAAATGTACCTTCATATTGTCTTTTTCCCATGGCTTCCATAGCGCCTTGACTTACTGCTTCAATAAACTCGTGTTACATTATGTTTAATTTTTTCAATACTGCATAAATTCTTCCCCACCCACCACAAATACCTACTTGTATTACGTAACTTAGTACATGATTTTTTAAAAGAATCCTTTTTGTCCTCCCCGTTACAACTGTCTTTTTTTCTAATTTTCTCTACAGTCGATTAGGTATTTTCCTCTGCTTACAATGTGGATATTCATATATCACATTTTACAAAATCAGATTTCTTTCCACTGTTGAATCTGCATGCCAAGACAGAGAATGGCCTTCAGTTGATAAGATAATCTTGATCTTGTGAATTATTAGTTACTGTACATATCAACTGTGCGCCGTTGGTTCAGCGGTAGCATGTTCCCCAACCACCCACTTGGTATTAGGGTTCTATCCCCGATCGATGCACTCCTAAACCTCATGCAGTCGGTTGTAACCCCGATAAAGAGAGGAGGTTCGGTATGAGGTTAGAAACACCACTGCTACTTCAGTTGAGGCCTTAGGTTCCATTGGGAATGCAAAGAAATAAAAATGAAATAATGAATACAGCTCAACAAACGTAACGCTTCATACACAGTGATAATTCAGCGAGAGTGTATACGCGTGAAAGAGCTAATACCAATGACCTACTTCAAGATTCAGGCTAATTGACTAATTTAGAAGTGATGAAGAAGATTTGTGGCTTACGGGAGATGTTATTGGTGTGTTTGTGTTCTCTGTGCTAAATGGCTTGATTACGAAGCCTTCATTGTCTTTTTAGATAACATCTTTATCGTTGACTTGTTTATGAATCTGCGATCCATACACACATCGACACAGACCAGATTTATAAGGCAATGAAAAAGAATTCTCATGGACGATAGGTCGAATACTGAATCAACAAGATAATCACTATCAGTAAAACTGAGTAGGAGGGTAACGAAATTTCCTCAGACTACTAATCACGTTCAAGGTTACCGGGGAAGATGCTCACTGTATTCATGGTGAATTTAAAAAGCTTACTTCGTGTTGAAGTGAACACTGCGATGGTGGTCGTATAGGAAGAAAAAGACTAGTCCAACTCAGTGGACGTAACTACACCAATGGTTGATTAAGTCGTCTTTTAGTGTGTAGTAATGACTGTTGTACTAACTGCGCGGACATGATATTGAGGTCTGTTTATATTGCCATTTTTTGTCTGTGTTTTTTTCCGCACACATACATGAAATGATTATGTATAGTGCTTTTGGCAATAAAATAATCCAAGTTACCATTTGTGTGTCTACCTTTGTTCTCTACGTTCCGTTTTGGCTTTTTGCATGTATGTGTGGGTGTGTCAGTCAGCAGCGATAAGAAAGGCGGAAATTCAATTTGTCATACATTTTTAGTCTTACTTTTCTTCAAGAAAAAAGCAGACATACCTGCATTCACTAATTTATTTTCCATGTTTCTAATTAGAAATGTTTCTTTTCTTTGTCTGAAAAACTGCTTGGAATATGATTGATGTCAGAAAGAACAGTTGCGTAATTTTTTTCGTAGCTAAATAGTCTGTCGGCTTGTTTTGAAAGTAGAATTTGGCCACTGGTGTAGAATTGAATTCGATGTACACAATGTAGAAATACTACTATTCACTGTATAATACTTGCTCAGCAGTAATTATCAGGACATTAGGACAGTCTCGCTAATCTGTATTTCATGGTGATACTGTCTGAGATAGCGTTGAATTAGTTAGACTATTGTTAGTACAATGACTGAATCATGGTTGAAGGTGAAATAATGATCTGGATCACGTCAGATTCTGGATCAACAAATTCCTGTGTTCTCAAAAGTTAAGGTATTAGATCCGGTTGTTAATCAGGTTATCATTTCACTGTAATCAGTACGCGTAATGCTTAGTTTTGGTGTAAATAAATGAAGCGTAACTATCACAGTTTATCACAACACTGGTGAATCAGCTGGGTCTTCTGCTGTCAATACTAGCCTGACTCTCTACCAGTTAAATGTGATTTTTCTCACTCTAATGTTTATTGATTATGCAACAGCACTATTTACTTCTAGAATCCAGATGATAACCATACCATGAAGGTCTGCAAACATTGATATCAGTAGTTTTCATCTATCGATTCTTAGCCTCCTGATTGGTACTTCACAACATGACTCAGAGACCTTACAGACTAATGGGATATTTTTGTCTAGTCACTTCTAAGTTCTTATGATCTTTTCAGACCTTAGTTAGCGTTGATTTTTGTGCAAGATGAAATCTTAGCTACTTGGATTAATGGAGCTTCTAAATTTTATGCATCTTATTATCTAATATTGTGTACTTACTTTTCTTGCTGTATCACTGAGTGAGTGACTGAGTAAAAATGCCTATATCCTAAGAACTTTATTCTTTTCATACCAACAGGTGCCATCTCAAATGAAATTGTATTCTACCACAGATTCCCAGGTTCTGCTTTTCGTTCATAGGTTGTTAATATCACTCTGACATTTTATATCCTTTATTTCTACGAAGTTAATGCATATTATTATGTAAATATAAGACATTCATTCACGTACAGATATTCCTAAAAGTTATTTCGACTCTTATAGTCTGAATACAATAGAGGTTGTCAAGAAGAAAATTTTCTTCACTGCAACCGTTTTTTTTTACAGTGGAGGTGTTTGAATATTTCTATGTTCTCCAGTATTGGTTTGTAGAGATTTTGTTTGATTGGTTGGGGGATTTTATCATGAGCCAACATCGTTTAGAGAACCATTAGAAAACCAACCTGAGAGTACTGGAGAGCTGTCTCGTCCTAGTTTGGGACTCTTCATCACTAAGCGCTCACCACCAGGGTCCGAGCCAAGGACCTTCTGGTTACAAGGCAAGCTTGTAGACCATTAGGCCACTGGGACCCAATTCAATGGCTCACAAATTCACACTTCTGCCAATTCACGACATTGCGTGACTGAGAAGTTACAAATATTTCATTCATAGTTCATATTACTTGCAAGTAGTTGAAGGAATTACACTGAATAAAATGATGATGGCATTAGGTGTGATTTTATGTGCATGTTCTGTTTCATAGCATTCTTATTCAGAATCAAATATTTTACAAATCCATGCTTAATTTGTATTCGCTTTTCTTTGAGTTTCTTATTTTGTCGAAAACGTTAGATATTCATAGCAGAATCTAATACTGACTGAGACTGTTTCAACGTAGAACTTTGAACAAAAGAGCATCACTTCAAGTCGCCACACTTTATGTAGAGAAAAGAGAAGAATGTAGATTCAAAAGAACTGCAATCACCAGAAATGTACAGGAGGAAGAATAGAAACATAAAGGGGGTTAATGGGTTTAGGAGATTACAAAGAGTTAGTTTGTCTGTGACATTAAGAGTGGTTTTGAGCCATATCACCAAAAGTCCCCAGCGATTGGTTCTTAGCATCCCAAGGAATGCAACCAGTCACCACTTTAGATGAATGACTGAAACCAACTGTCGAGGAGTTTATTGATTGATTTTAGGATTTGACTTCGGAACCCTCAATATAATCCTATGTCAGCTAACACTGCCTATCAAGGAAGGCTGTGACAGTATGCGCAACACTTGTTCTATAGCCATCTCAATCGTTGCAGTTTTATACAGTTGCTTATCAACTATTTTTTAAGGTGCCGAATATTGTGAGTAGTATATAGGAGAGACAGAAAAATAGATCGATTTTCAAATGAAGACGGATTGACAAATATTTTTTCAAGAGTTGATTTACAGGGATTTAATTTGATTATATACAGGATTTCATCATGAGTTGACACTGGTTAGAAAACCATTGAAAAACCTGGGAGTAAGGACATATACTCGCAGCCGATAACTCTGGCTAGTCCCCGAGCTATATCGTGAATTGGGAGAAGTTAGAATTCATGGGCCATTGGATAGGGTCCCATTGGCCTAATGGTCTACGAGCTCGCCTTGTAACCAGAAGGTCCTGGATTCGAACCCCAGTGGTGGGCACGTACTGATGAAGAGTCCCAAACTAGGATGGGACAGCTATTCGGCTGATTTTTCAATGGTTCTCTAAGCGAGGTTAGCTCATAATGAAATCCTGTAACCAAATATTTTTTTTATTTGTAGAACCTGATATCACAAATCCGCACATTTCATACCATTATATGAAGTAAAAGCTTATAAAAGTCAGTGAAGAATTGAAGAAAGATTATACAGTCTAATGTAATAGAATAATTCATGACGGAGTATAAAATTTAGGGGGAATGAAGAATAAGGTATGGAATGCATCTGCACTATTATGTTTGATACTACGTCAAATCAGCTTTTGTCTGTCGGTAAAAGTTATGTTGTCAACTCTAACCAGGTAACATGCAATCGTTAAACAACTTAAACTACTATCCAGTGACTTTGTGGACTATTATTATACTTGTCGATGTGATCACCCTATTTTTTTCGAATGCAGTCCTACTTCTGCTGGTATTTTTCTCCCATGTAGATAGGTAATGAGGAAATATGTGCGTCTGTGGTTCAGTGGTAGGATACTGGTCAACCATGCAAGTGGTCTGGGGTTTGACTCACTGCCGGTGCACACCTCTACCTCTCCTAGCCAGTTGTAAGTCCGACAAATGGAGAAGGTTGGATGTGAGGTTAGCAACCCCACCTCATTAAAAAATAGTCCCACCGCTACTGAAACTTCAAAGCTCACGCTTGAAGCCCTATGTTCCACTGGGAACGCAAAGTAATGAAATAAAAATAAGTGTGCAGCAGAGACTGATTCGATACTGACTACTCACTGGTTCGTATAGTTTTAAAGAATGTTAATCGTTTAGTAGTCATATCACCGCTACTCTGCTGGACTTCTTGATAATTATATTGTCATTCGGTTCGGAATGTAATCCTATAAAATTATGGGTCTATAATTTTTAGTTATCTAATCAGTTAATCATTTTACCGTCATTTGGCTTCCTTTTAAGTGTATAAAAACCTAGTCTTTACTGTCGTTTTAGCTTTTTTGTCAACTTATCACTTGCATACAATAGCTCTGTCTTCTCACTCTATACTTGTTTTGTATTTTTAGTTACTCAAACATCTCTAAACAAGTTACCGTCGAATTCTTCTTCATCTTCAATTATTGGTGGGTTAACTGAACCAAGCAGTTTAGGCAGTTCAACAAGTCGTGGAAGCTCATTGACTGTTGTTTCTTCTTCCAATGGTTGCAGCGGTGGTGGTGGTGTTGGTGGATGTGATAGTAGTAATGGAGGATATGCTTCATCGGTGAATAACGTTCAAGAAGAATTATTAGCACATTCATTGAATACAGATTTTGATCAAGGCCAACAGCAGCAGCAACAACAACCACTATCGTCAGCATCATCGTGTTATTATGAAATATCAACGAATGCATCACTTTCACCAGCGCCTAGTTTATCATCAATGACATCAGTTTCTGGTGGTCTACCGCATTCATTAACATCTAGCATTATAAGTACAACAACGAATACAAATAATTCTAGTACAACTGCGAATACAACCTACTTACTGCCTAATTCTAGTATTACATCAACTGCTCAAGGTTGTCTACGAGCTTTACGATCTGGTGATACAGTATTTCGTGCATCAACAAATATTTCAAGTGGAACTTTAAACTCACGCAGAAAAATAAGTACATTGTCGAGAACAAGTGTTACAATGATGACAGATGAAAGATTCAGTAATTCAAGGTGAAACTATTTTCTTTTTCTTTTTACAAAATAATTTGTTTACCCGATATTTTCGATTAATTATATACTTTTCATCTAAAATTTTATTTAAATCTTCGGTTAGTGTTTATTTAATTAAAGAACTTAGCTAAGCTTTCTTTCAGAGGGAACGACTCATGAAACAAGCGTGTGTCATTACAGAAGAGAGTAAGTGGCAAAATCTTTTTTAGAAGAGGTGATTTTTAGGAATGTTTAAATCAATTCAGTAGCACACGGATTACTGCCTATCACAAGAGATCACTCATGGCCTACATAAACCAGTGATGAAGTTTCTAACTGCCTAGCTGGGTTGGCTGATACTGTTGGGTGTCTTTATCCCAATTACTTGTGCTAAGTACATCATCATAGTGAACAATTACTATTCATATTCAATAAAGTCTTATTCGGCAAGGCAGATGAATCAGTCTATGATTCAGATGACTTAATATGAATGCCAGTGTGTCGGTGGCATAGCGCGGCATAGCCCGCCGACCATGCACATAGTCCAGGGTTCGATCCCCGGCCGACGCACTCCTTTGCCTGGTTAAGCCAGAAAATATGGCTGGTGAATAGGAAAGGTTGGGCATGAGGCTAGCAAACCCATCCTGTAAAATAAGCATTGCTACAGAAACTTCAAGCCACTAGCGTGAAGCCCCTATGTTCCACTGGGGAACGTGAAGGAAAGAAAAAAAATATGAATGCCAAGTCCTCTGGCTTTCTCAACGACCAATTTTAAGTGAAATAAGATTATTTTTAAGAAGTCTTTGCAGTGATCAGACCAGATAATGCTAACAATCCATAAGTCTCTGGCTGTTGATCTGAGCCATGTCCGTAGTATATATATATATATATATGTCTCATGGTTGTGGTCCTCGAGATATTGTAATTCTTTCCCTACCATTAGTTTTAGTTTCATTTAGTTTGTCTCTCTTTCTCCCTTTTAATTTAGAATCCAAAACTTATCTCCATCTGCAACTTTGGTTAACTTATCAGCTAAAAATGTATGTGACACTGGTGTCTTGTCTTCGTCGCCACCGTCATCCTCATCATCAAGTCTACTACGGAATAAATCAAAGTTGCTGTTCAATCGTGATATCTACCAGCCATCAAGTCAGATGAGTCCAAGTCATTCTGCGTTTTCTGCTGTTACTAATCCCCTACAGCATAAAGATTTAACGCGTACACACGGATCACATCTATCGTCATCGTCTTCGTCTTCGATATCATCGCCTACTACTACTTCTACTACTACTACTCCTTTCGCTTATGATTCAAATGGACAGTATTCACAGAAAAGTGTGTAGTGCCATGCAAATTGTTGTTTGTGTATTTTACATGAGATCTGTATTCATTACAGACTTATTGTTGTGTTTGTTTTTTCTTAAAAAGAAGGCTTATTGGTGATTAAGTGCTCTTTTTTTATACCCATTACTATCTATGTGTAGGACATAGAAGAAGAAAAAACAAGAAGACGGTGTACACATCATAGAACATATCATAACAGTGTATCCTATCAGAAACACAATGAAATAAGTAGAACAAGACGGAAAATATCCGAAGTTCCATAAAACGAAATAACTGACGATAAAACTAATCGAAAATATGTTTAAGAATTATGCAGATGAATTTTAATACCAGTATATGTGGCCAATAAGTGTCTGATTACTAAAATACTTACTTCTCTTACGGAAATCTTCAAGTAAAATAACGATGATCTATGGCATATATTTTGGTTGAAAGCATACCCCTTCCCACTACCCGCTTTCTGCGGTATTTTTGTTCCCTCCCCTACACACAAAATATGCATTGGAGTAGTAGACTGGAAACGATTTGAAAATCTTAGATGGAATAAAGAGTCTGTTTGATTCTAAGACATAAATGCACGAATGAATAAAGCTGCATAGAAAGGAGTAGATTTGATCCATTTTCCTCGATGAAAAACTAGACGACTCTGTAGTGATTTAAGTAGTCCGCTAAAGATAAAGATGTATCCTCCTCCATTATTACTCAATGGCTTTATTTGTTAGCCTATATTCCCCATGAAGCCGTCAACTGTCTATATATATATATAACTTATTTTGGTATTAAATTTAATAATAGCATAGTTAACCATAGCCACGAGAAGTAATTCTAACAGACGGCAACCTTCGCTTCCTGGGTAGAAAACATTAACAACAAGGAACTCTGGCATCGAATCACCCAGACCCAACAAATACGCTAAATAAAATGGAGATTGATTGGTCATACGCTGAAGAGACTGTCGATCGACATCGTATTGGATCCTCTAGTGGGACTCCAGTGAGAAGCGAAGAGTTGAACACTGGAGGAGATTGTCTGGGGGGGTAGGAAATGAAGGTTTACGGTCATTCTTAGAGCCAGCTATAAGGGATGGCAATGTAGCCAGATTGAAGCTTTTTGTTCCTCGTGGAACCCAAGGGAATAATAACGATAATTATAGTGCTAGTTAAACTGCTAAAACTTGATTATAAATGTATTATATATATCTATATATGTGTTTGAATTTTGTTTTATTTCTTTTGCTAATAAAAATGGAAAAGATAATAATCAAACGAAGTCGAATCACACTACACTGTCACAACCATCAGCTGCACCTCGATCACCACTAACAACTAGAACAATAAAAGATGGTGAAAACAGTGATAACAGGTCTAGCATGGATTTAGATTGTGTTGTGGCATCATTTCTAGGCAAAGATTTTGCTGATTTCCTGAATAAAGACATCAATATATCTGACTCTTCATCGTCATCTTCATCGTCAACATCTTCCAAAGTGCAAATGAGTAAAACTCGAAGTAAGCGTGTTTGCGTGTGCATGTGTGTTTTTGCATGTTTTATTTCTTTCTTTTTTTTATTGACTAATCCTAGTCTACTGTTCGATCACAGATTGATGTCAGTTAGAGAATCATTGAAAACCCGGGAGTACTGGATGACACCTGTTTCCGCCTAGTTTGGGACTCTTTATCGGGACGCACCAATGACCCCATCAGGAGTCGAGCCTAGGGCTTTCAGTCTGCATCGATCCGTTATCAAACTTGAAACGAATCAAATCGCTATAAACTAATCCTAGAAAATTCCAGTTCAATTTTCATCGTATCAATTATGTTACTGCAACTCAAATCTTTTTTTGCTGTAGGCATTTAAACAGACTAATTACATAATTCGCATAGTAATACTATTGATTGAATTTGTGTTCCTTTCTAGTCACAGAGTTCGTAGAATGGAGTTCATTGTCGAGGGATAAAGTAATATGGATAGAAATTAGTAGTATTATTACTGTAGGAGTACATCATTTCGTATGTAGTGATTTTATCATATGGTTGACTGCCTGCCTGCTTAGAACTTCGGCTACTGGGAACCTCCATCAATATATTGCGTATAATTCCCCTTATTCAATTTGTTTAAATCTAGCCAAATATGACCTCTAATAGTATTGTTAACTCCGGCGAGTATTTAAAATGATAACAACCTACTGATTTGCAAGTTTCTACTAAAAGCCCTATCATCTGTGGCAGCTTGTCTTAATACGTGACTTAACTGTTCCTGACTTGTGTCCTTGGGTTATAAAATATACTCCTGAACCTTTTATAATTGACATTCTTCTAAATGCCGTGCATTTCTCGAAAGAGAAGAGATGTCATCATAATGAATTGGTTTGCGCTTCAGGACAGATCTAATATCAATTAATCTACTATCATTTAAAGATCCTGAATTGAGAGAATCTATTGTGCAATAAACTCGGCTGAAAATTCTGTAGATTTATATAAACATTCTTCAGAATCAAACTGTTAGCAATACTATTGTTATGTTTGAAAAATTACTCCTTTTTTTCTCCATCCCTCTCTCTCTCTCCTTGTGAACTAGCCGGATTGGATGTTCAAACAAATTTATACAGATCACCTTTCAAATCAAGTCTATCTAGGCTACCGGTATGTTTATTGTCTACCGTTGTTTTGTTTTATCATTCTTATTACTATTCTCTGATTGTCTTTGTGAACGTTTTACTCGATCATACTACTTATTACGAATTATAGTATTCAATTCGAATAACTAGTCAGTCAGAGCTGTTCTAGCTAACTGGTAGAATTCTTTCAACCAACGCCATTAGGGGCTAGAGTGATGGTACTGGCTACTTCCCAGCGATCAATCATTCCCACCATAACAGGGGGTCAGTTATAGCTCTGATGTCTGTTACGACGACACTGAACCTAGTTCCAGGACTTCCTGCCGATTCGCTGCAAGCATCTAACTGGGAGACATAATAATACTTTATGCTGATGAGTACTTCGAAACGTGCTATTGTGTAGCACCTGTGTTTAACCATGTTTATTCCTTGTCGTCTTTTAGATTTCTGTTTATAAGCTCGGTCTCAAACGAGCGAAACAGTGTTTGCATCAACATGCCTACCAAATACTCATTTGACATGGGTGGTTTATGACCACTCATGTCAGTCAGTCAGTCAGTCGGTAGTATGTAGTATCACTCTAATTTCTTTATCTCCTATGAACAAGAATCTTTCATTCACAATACAAATTTTTATTGTCTTAGACGGGATTTATAGTGATTGCCCATTAATGAACAAACGAACTGATTGATATGTAAGCTTACACTGAAAAGTGCATGATGTCAATTCGCTGAACCTTCTCCCCGCCTTATGAGCACACAAAACAATGGTGCTATAATGGACAAGCATTAATGTGAGGAATGATTAAATGCAGATGAATTAAAATATTTCGGATTTCGACCAAGAGGCATTAAATTTCTAACCACTGATCCTTAGCATCTGGATGTTCCTGCTCAAGTAATCATATCCCCTTATATATATATATATATATATATATATATATATATATATATATATATATATGACTAGCAGATCGAAAGTCATGGATCTCAAACGTGTGGATGTTATGCTCTGTTTTAATTGGTATAACATTAGGCTAATTTTGACACCTGTAGGCAAATTTGGGCATAAAACGAATTCATGAGTCCATCCAATTCATCTGAAGTGGTCTAAACTCTCTGTTAAAGTCAAAATAATAATAATCATAATCAAAGTGAGTGTGAATTCAATCGTATCGGGATAGATTTTAGGATTTCATCATCACCACTGATTTCAACTCATGATGAAAGCCTGTAACCAATCAAATCTAATAATCCCTGCAAAACTAACGCTTGAATATCGGTATATATTTGAAAAATAAACATCTTATAATCATACACCTTCCACCTTCATAACCTGTACTTAATATCATGATTATTATTATTAAAACACGGACTTGATTTATTATGGGCGCCGAAAGATACATCATACAAAATCTCATAGTTTCTATGAGAGCTGAGATACTGTGTGGACGCCGAATTCGAAGCAGATGATTGTTTTAAGGCGGCATACCTTGATCCTTTGACTTGAAGTTCGACCCACTAGGTAGTGAACCTACGTTCCTATTGGTTGTTAGTGTCCAAAACAGGTTCGTATGCCATTCATTACGTATGGATTGTAGAGTCCAGACATACCGTAGGTTTGGAATCAGAGGTTTCTAGCTCCCCCAAGCGGACCGGCGTTCCCACTGGTCCGATTCTAAGTGTCGGACATTCTCATTTAGCCTTTCATTTTTGTGTGAGGAACAATTGTGTACTCAGTTTAGACTATGTGAACTGCATTTTGTTTTCTATGTTGGTTTCTTTTTCTTTGTATATTAGAGAGGTGGTAGTCAACGTGATAATAATGATAACGGGGATAATGGAGATGTACTTGCTATTTAATAATAATGATGATAATCACATGTCTACACACACACACACAAGCGTTCGAAGTCAAACGCGTAAATATTAATTTCATATGAATATCACTTATGAAGAAAAAAGTTGTAATGATGATATTTTTCTTCAGTTGCATTTCACACAAACATTTCTCATCTTCTACTAATTCTTTTCGTTTCGCTTCAACAGACAATTGTTCCCTATTTTTTTCGTTACCATAAATGAGGGTAATTCACTGTCGCGGTTGTCGTTTATTGTTGCTATTACTTTTCTGATTGTTTCGTGTTTCTGTCTGATGAATAACCATATCTCACCTTCCGTAAAAATGCACTGATCATCTGTCTGTCTATCTCTGCGCATCGAGCTGTTCACATACCATTATTTCTCTTTATATTTATCCATTTTAATGATATTCATATTACAACAGTACTTATTTATCTACATCAATTGAACTAAGTATCTCTAAGGCATTGAGTTAAGCCTCATGTGTTTTTCTTCATTTTTATGGTTTATCTTTCTCTGTTTCCCTGCCTATATTGTGCATTCTACAAAAGATATTCATGAAATGTCAGTAGTATTCTCTAAATTTCCTAATCTCCCATCCTCCGACATTGCTCCGATCGACAGTTGTAATACAATTGTGTTTCTGAGTAAATGTACCCTTATCGTCTTAATATGAGTGTGTGTGTGTGTGTGTATACGTGTATGCGCATATAATTAATTCCATTGATTGTTATTGCCTTCATAACCACTCATTTGAACTCTTACTTCACTCCACCCCCGGTGGCTTTGTATAATGAATCTTATCTATACAGAAGCTTTGTGTGTGTGCGTGTATGTGTATTTATGTGTGAATGGATCAATAACACATTTCATGAAATATACATAATATTATACAATATAGACGATACTAATGAAATGTTCTTCTCTAGTCTATATTATAGCCCTTTTTTCCTCTTCACTAGGCATATATACGCCTAACTTTCATGATTAGTAATACTATTACACTTACTATTTAACTCATTCTTTTCTTATCTATGATACTACTACCACTACTACTAACGAAACTACTTATATGAGTTTTTTTCTATGTGACCAAATAGGAAATATTTGTTTTTAAATATCATTTCTAGTGTGTTATTTAATGCCTTTTTCGAAATTTGATGAGAAGGTCCCCCTTTGGTGTGTGACACATGCAGAGGGAGAGAGAGAAAGAGGGAGTCATCCCTGAAGGTTTATTATCGCATTATTATTCTTCTTATTATTATTATTATTATCGTTATTATTTATATTTATTATATTCATCCTTTCCTTTATATCCAGAAAAAGTTTTTATAGGTATACCTACATATTAATGCCATATTGATGAAATACCCATACTTCTTCTGAATACAATGGGATTTTTATTGTTTATTATTATTATTACTACTATTATTATTATTAACCATTATTATCCTAGGGATTATCATCATCATCATCATTGTTATCAGTGCATTTCATCTTTGCCTTTTCTGCCCTTTTTCGCCTTCCGTTTTTATTATTCCTCCCCACACTCTATCACTGTCTCTTTTCGCTTATCTAACTTTATAGTTAAACTCAAAACGCTTCAGGTTTTCTTTTTATCTTGTCTGGTGTTTTGTGTATGTATGTTTAAAGAAAACGAAACGTGTGCTTAGCTCCTTCTCTTCCGTCTCGGTTTCTCGCTTTCTCCCTCCCTCTCTCTCTCTTTTATTGTGTTTTAACTCTTGACAAATTTTTAAAATATATATAATTGTTAAATATGAATAAAAATGGTTAATTATGTTGTTATTGTTATTCTTATTATTATTTGTTTTTTATAGAGCTCAAGAGTAAACAGGCTTGGAACTTTACATAAAAGGTCATCAGTTCAAGTTCTTTCACATTTCTGGATTTCATTTTTTTTTAATTAGAAAGTAAACACAAGTTAAATAAATCCTATGCTTACTCATCGAAAATGGAGCCAGAGACAACAGCGGACTTGATGACGCCACTGCTGGAGAAGGTGTCGAAAGAGGGCAAGGTACCCGAGGATTGTAAGGAAGGATACTTATTCAAATTACCAAAGAAAGGAGACTCAAGTCAATACAAAAACTGGCGTGGATTTATGCTCCTGTCCATCCCAAGCAAAATACTAAGCCGAATCATCCTGGAGAGAATCAAACAAGCCCTAGATGAAAAACTTTGACCGGAACAGGCTGGATTCAGGAGAAACAAGTCATGTATTGATCAAATCGCCACACTATGGATCGTCATTGAACATAGCTCAGAATGGCAATCACCTCTCTATGTCAACTTCATCGACTTTGAAAAGGCTTTCGACAACACAGCATCGATCGTGAGGTGATTTGGCAACTACTTCGCTACTACGGGGTGCCACCGACAGTTATACATCTCATCCAACAGTTATACGACAATGCTGCATGCCAAATAATCCACAACGGGAAACTTACGGAATCCTTCGAAGTGAGGACGGGAGTGAGGCAAGCTGGCTGTCTACTATAGCCAATGATTTTCCTGATGGCAGTAAATTGGATAATGTGACAAACAACAGGCAATGAGGAAACAGGCATAAAATGGACTCACACAAAAAACTTGGAGGATATAAGTATAAAACTTGGGCACTGTGGTAGAGTATAACTCCATTATGGATAAGATTTTGATAAATTGCGCAGTGTTGTACAGTAATATTAACTGATGACATTTCGAGCACAAACTATTGCTCATAATCATATCAAGTTAATCACACAACTTTTTTCTTTCATTTATATACATGTGTGGAATCGATTAGATTTTGGATTAAAAATCAATATGAGATAATGTACATTCAGAAATATAACAATACGAGTGTTATTGATCAAATACAATTAGATGGGAAATAAGACGAGTGTTTTTATAGTCATAATAAGTTACTTGTTAAAATGTTGTGTTGTGTTTGAACTGAAATAGAATTTTATGATTATTTATTATCGTTTTCTGATTTGACCGGTAGTAATAATATCTTCCATATTTCTGGTATTCGCATTGAGTCACTTCTGTTATATTTGTGGGTGTAGACTCGATGAACAAGGATTCAGTAATCAACCTCTCTCTCCACCTACCTAGATTACTTTTGAGAATTTTAACCCTATCCCACCCTATCGTGTGATTGTTTGTTGATGCGTGAAGTGCAATAGCTGAGCTTTTTTCTAAATTACTTATCTTTTCAGGGTCAACCATTCTTCCCTTAGCTAAATTCTTATGTTCTGATAATCTGACTACGCCTGACCTACTAGTTTGACCTTACTTACAGTCATTGCAGGGTATTTTGTAAATTATGTTATTTTGTCTTATTGGGTCCACGGGGTCTTTTAGCCTACAGAGCTTGTCTCTGGGTGAGTTTGTATGTTTAAATGCCACCCTAATTCCTGCTTTATTAAGAATCCTACGTAGGGTCTCAGATGTCCCCTCTTCATATGGTATGAATGTAGATGACTTATATTCTCCCTTATTTATGTTATCATTACTAGTTCCAGAATTATTTTTATTTTGTCTTTGGTCTTTACTAATCTTTCTAATGAATTTTAAAGGATAGTTATTTAACACCAACGCTCCTTCTATGTGTTTTATTTCATCATTTAGATCCGTTTTTTGAGCTACTTAGTGCTATGGCTCGGTTCGTTAAACACTTAACTAAGCCTGCCTTAACAGTTAACGGATGAGATGAATTAAAGTCTAAATATCTATTAGAATGAGTTGGTTTTCTGTACACACTAGTGTGTAGTTTACCTTCTTCTATTTGTCTTATCTCACAATCTAGCATAACTAATTCTCCTTGTTCATTTTCCGGTTCAAATGTGAATTTCATTCCCTCCACTAGTGAGTTTATGTGTGTGAAGAAGCTAGAGATGTGTTCTGTTTTTAACACTGTGAAAGTGTCATCCACATATCTCCACCATATTTTCGGAGTAGGGTTAAATGTATTGAGGGCACAATTTTCCCAGCTGTCTATAAATATGTTTGCTACGATAGGGGATATTGGTGATCCCATTGCTACACCTTGTGTTTGTCTATATATTTTGCCTTGGAACTTAAAGATAGTAGATGTGAGGCATAACTGAATCCCTAAAATAATTTCTTCAATGGACAGCTTTGTCCTATGATTGAGTTCAGGATCGGCATTTAGTTCTTTTTTAACTGCTTCTAAGGCCATATTGACTGGTATATTAGTATAAAGACTAGTTATATCAAAACTAACCATTGTTTCATCAGTCTCTAGTCGAGTGTCATTTAGTTTACTTTTCATCTCATATGAATTAGTTAATCTAAATTTTGAACGATTTCTAATGGGACAAAGTATTAGAGCTAAGTGTTTTGATAATTCATACGTAGGAGTATTTCTAAAATCTACTATTGGTCTTATGGGGTAACCTGGCTTATGTATTTTTATAGTACCATATATTCTACTAGCATTATTAGTTTTAGGCATTAAATTAAACCATTTGGACTCACCCAGTGACGGCTTCATTCTGCGTATTGGTTCTGCTGTAGATTTCTTAACTTTATTCATAATTGCATCGACAGGCTTCTTAATTTCTTCATATGGACCCGTTCGAATATGTTCAGTAACTTTTTTGATGTAGTCAGATTTATTCAAAACTACGGTGGCGTTTCCTTTGTCAGCTTTTGCGATGACAATATTTTTATCCTGTCTTAGACTAATTAAAGCTTCTCTTTCCGATTTTGTTAAGTTTGATTTTTCAGGGTTAATGCACATTGTGCTCGAACCTCTTCTGCTGTTGTCTTATCTATTGAGCTTAGTGCTACTTCTATGTTAGGAATGACATCCTCTGGTTTTAATTTACTCACGGTTACATTGAAATTTAGGACTTAACCGATAATATATGTCTGATCTCCCACAAACTGGAAGATATGCAAGTGAAAAGCAACAAGTTGTCCGAAGAAGCATTCAGAGAAGATAGGACTTCCTTCAGGTGAACACAGAG